TACTCAAGCTATGCATGCGTCGACGCTTTGCTACAAGAATGTCTGTATCGGATCATTGTTCTCTTGATATTTGTATACTTGATTAGGACTTCTTATTAGGAATAGACCCGAAAGGAAAGCTTAAATACAGAACAGAATTTCCACTCAAGCACACAGAGCGACGTCCGGCTTCCAGGTAAGCGTCTGGTCAAGCTTGTTTGAGTGTGTTTTGCCTGTCGGTGAACTCGAAGCTCTGTAGCGAGGGTTCATCCGGCAAGACCAAGAGACTGTGTGTCTTTAGCCGATTACTATCGGGAGGTATTACGTGACGGCTTATGTTTGCCTATTTGCACGTCTGGGAGTGCTCGTATTGCATCTCTTTTATTCTTCCAACCGAGTGTTGAACACTCGGTGACCTCGTAAAAGGCTTACCCGTGCCTGGTACCCGTCCGCTGTTGGGACCACGAGGATTCATAACACCTGCTAGCTTTGCTCGTGCTAGTAGCGTGTTCTTAGTTTTACTGGTTGGCCTATATAAGTAGTTTACAGGGTCCAGTATGTCCCGGTGCAAGGGCAGAACTGGGGTCTTCAGGTCCGCCCGAACGATCGTTTACTATACTAGTAGACGTATTGTTGTGGGAACGTCCTAACTACGTTTGTAGCTAGAGCTCACGTGGGAATTCCAACACCACAACTTGTGCCGCGACCCGGGAACAGATTGTGACCATTGTGAGCTGTTTGTATGGCCTTCCAGTTTACGAGCTACCAAGAGAAGAACAAGAAAACAAAAACAAGAAACATGGCGAAAAGACAACCGACAGCACCAGTTACGCCTGCCAAGTCTGGCGGGGCTCGAAACGAGAGTTCAAGCCCGGCTGCGCGCTTTGCAGCCGCCACCGAGCTTTCAGTGAGCTTCGATGACGAAGCGGACATCGGTCCTGACGCCCACGATTTTGAAGATTACGAGGACAGGACGCCGGCTCCAGAGCCAGGCGCAGCGACGCCGGAGACGGCCACGCTATCATCGGGGCTGAGCGGGGCGACCAGGACTCTTTCGAGGAACCTCGCCGACGTGCTCGATGATGTTGCGGGGTCGGAACCGGCCTACGAAGAATATGACGATGGGACCGAGGGTTCTAAACCTTCGGTGGCGAGTGCAAAGCATTCAGCACTGCTGAAGGCACCTCACCCACCTATCAACGGTGATTGCAGCGGGCTGCCGTAGCTTTAGCGTCAGAGGAAGACGTTCGACTCAAAGAGTCACTAATATTAAGTTCTTTATCCAAAGGACACTTACAGCCCAAGACCAGGGCTCAAAGCTAATACCTTAACTTTTATGCTTCAAAACCAGAATTGTTTTATTTACTATTATTGCGGCCAAGCCGCCTAGGGGTAAATGTATTGGTTTAACTGTCTACCATAGTTAAACCTAATCAAATGCATAACGTGTGGCTTTCGGCCAACGTACTGAGAGACCTTGTTAACTCTCCAGCTTATGTACTGAGAGTTTGTTAACTCTCCGGGTACTTCGTACCCCTGTGTGCTCCACACCATGTAACCCCGTTACACTCTCCCCCACTAAGATGAGAACATTCTGTTCTCGAAACTCTCCTCAGCGAGGGCACGTCTTGTTAAGACGGCGGAGGTTACTACACCTCACACCAGCGTTGTACAGCTCCGTGAGCTCACAAACGCCTACGCATCATTGATGCCCAACTTCTCGTCGTCGGCCCACGGCCCAATGTTCCAAGCGCAGCGCGCATCTTGCTCTCAAGCGGTCTCATACCTACGCTCGCGCTCCGCGCCTACTCCAAGAGCTGCAAACCGCTTAGAGCAATGCTCTTGCCTCATTCGAGTCGTCGACAACAGCTCAGCGGTTGAACACTCTCTTCACAAGCGATAGGTCGGTGGTTCGAGCCCACCAGGGCACAGCCCTCTCGTTCCATGAACGATTGTTCGCTTGGACAAGCTTAAGGGCAACACCCTTTTAGCTCAATGGTTGAGCGTTGGCTTTGAGAGCCACAGGACGGTGGTTCGAACCCACCAGGGCACAGCCCTCTCGTTCCATGAACGATTGTCCACGCTTGGACAAGCTTAAAGGCAATCCCCTTTTAGCTCAGTGGTCGAGCGTTGGCTTTAAAAGTCACAGGTCGGTGGCTCGAACCCACCAGGGCACAGCCCTCTCGTTCCATGAACGATTATCCACGCTTGGACAAGCTTAAAGGCAATCCCCTTTTAGCTCAGGGGTCGAGCGTTGGCTTTGGAAGTCACAGGGTCGGTGGTTCGAACCCACCAGGGCACAGCCCTCTCGTTCCATGAACTGTTGTCCTTAAATGGACAAGCTTAAGGGCAACGCCCTTTTCAGCTCAGTTGTCGAGCGTTGGCTTTGGAAGCCACAGGTCGGTGGTTCAAATCCACCCGGGCGCAGCCCTCTCATACCATGAGTAGTCCGTTCTCGGACTGACGCACGGGCATCGCCCTGATCTATAGCTCAATGGTAGAGCTCCGGCCTGTCAAGCCAAAGGCCAGTGGCTCGATCCCCGTCCGGGACACCACTTTCGCTGTTACAGCGCATCCACATTTGAATCATGCTCATCGAGCAAGTTGTTTCAAAACAACTATGCGTCTATCGAGACGCTTGTGCCTGAACCTTGTTCAGCACAACACGAAGCACCTGCTTCCTTCGGGACCATGTCCCTAATACTGCGAGGTCTCTCCACCTCCTGCTCCCGCTGCGAGCACCGCTCATACGTACGAGCTGGCTGCTACAGCCACGGGTCCTGAGCTCAACTACTGACCTGATCGCTCCCTACTCTAGTGGGAGGCGCCCAGCGCCTGGCGACGCTGTCGCACGCCACGGTGGCGCTTCGGCACATGATGTGCCCGGTCGTAAGCGTCAACGACGTCAGGGCAATCTTGCCGGAGGATAGCCTCAAACTCCCATGAGTTTCTGTGAGTGAGGGTAACCCCTCCACTTCACCAAGTACTGGGTACAACCCTGGCGTCTACGCCACGCCACAAGGCGTTCCACGTGAAAGTGAGCTCACCATGCTCATCGAGCAGAGCTGAAGGAGGCCTTGCTTCAGCTGGGCTCTCGTGGGAAGAGTCAGC